CCCATCTACTTCCACTGTTACACGTTAAAAAAAAAAAAAAAAAAGCTGTCCAAAGAAGTTAAGTGGTTGCCTAAAGTCACCAATTAGTGGTAAGGCCTAGTTTAGAATCCAAGTGTTAAGAGTCTCAGTCTACCCACTGTCCAGAATTACCACAGAGGGAGTTATTACATAAACCAATTATCCATCTTCCTTATGCTCAAAAATGTAGGCATGCCAGGGATGCCTGGCTGCCTCAGTCAGTAGAGCATGCGACTCTTCATGTCTGGGCCATGATGAGTTCAAGCCCACATTGGCATAGAACTTACTTCAAAACCAAAAAAAATAAAGAGGGGCGCCTGGGTGGCTCAGTTAGTTAAGCATCTGACTTCAGCTCAGGTCATGATCTTGCAGTTCGTGAGTTCCAGCCCATGTCAGGCTCTGTGCTGACAGCTCACAGCCTGGAACCTGCTTCAAATTCTGTGTCTCCCTCTCTTTCTCCCCCTCCCCACTCACTTGTTCTCTCCCTCTCTCTCTAAAAAATAAACATTAAAAAAAAAAATGTTTTAAGATAACCTTTAAGAAAAAATGTAGGCATGCCCGTACTTGGAATTTTCTTCTCTTGGTTCTTCCTTCTGCCAGAAGGTACAGATCCTGCTGTTTTATGTAACAGAAGTCATATATGGCAACAACTAGCAAAACAGAAAGGAAACGAAGCAATCTATCCCCGAAGGAAAGACAGTAAACTAGGCCCTGAGATATGTGACCAAGGATTTCTATCAGTAGCACCACACTTGTCCCCCCCACACACACAGGTGTCCCTAATTCCTGTATTTCAATACCTACCAGAAGAAATTCTATTTAAAGCCATCAATGTCATTACCCGCTGTTGAAACCAGTGAGAATCAAGCTGCATAGGCATTTTGAACCATTACCTTATTTAAAAGGAAAGCATTCCCCATAAAGGCATACCAGTTCTCAATGATGAGCCAATTTTTCTAGTATTTTATGCATTAAGTTTTTAGAAGGTAGGCCAGGGAACCTACCCCACCAAGTTCAACATCATTTTCAGTAGGAAAATACATTTTGAGTTCAAACAAAAAATTATTTTCTATCTCATTTTTATAGCACATTTCAATTCAGACTAGCCAAATTTCAAGTGCTCAATAGCCTTCTATCCTACTGCCAGCATACTGGCCCTGTCAGTATTGTAATGTGTCTTGGGACAATTGCTTTCTCTCAATATATAATATAAACTGAATATGTAAATTATTGTTAAAATATTTAATTGTTGCCTTCATTAAATACCTTAGTTTCCATTCAAACACAAAACTAAATATAAAAAGAAACATAATTAAAAAACAAAAAACAGGGGCACCTGGGTGGCTCAGGTGATTAAGCATTGGACTTAGGCTCAGGTCATGATCTTGGGATCCCTGAGTTCCAGCCCCTCAGCCCCCATGTCAGGCTCTGTACTGGCCACTCAGAGCCTGGAGCCTGCCTCACATTGCGTGTCTCCCTATCTCTCTGCCCCTCTCCTGCTCACACTCTGTCTCTCTCTCTCTCAAAACTGAATAAATGTTAAAAAAAAAAATTTTCCCCCAAACAAAAAATCAAGACTTTCTAAATCTTATAGGTTACACATTCATTCTGCTAATGGATCTTCTCTCTTGACCTCATTTAATTCACCACACCCTTAGGCAACAATTTAGAAGCTTTATTTTCACAAATTTTTAAAAAATAAATATAAATACTACCAATTAACAAAAGAGTATCTGGACCGAGTTCTAACATATCACTTAAATCAATTATCCAAATACATCTAATCTGTTTTGGAAAATAGTCACAACCATTTAAAAAAAAAAGTTTCTGATACTGTACTTACAGAAAAACAAGGAATTTTTAATTTTTTCATTACTTCAACAATGTTTCCAACCATGTAAAAATTCAGTGGAAATGCATGTTAAAATAATTTACCTAATAATTTTCCCCGTTTCTGACACTTTATCACTGCTCATCAAACTAAGAGTTTTTTTTTTTTAAGTGGGACTTATCTTTATTTTTTTATTTTTCAAATTTGTATTTAAATTCTAGTTAGTTACCATGAGAAGTATTTCCTTTTTCTTTTTCTTTTTTTTTTTTTAGAGATAGAGAAAGCGTAAGTAGGGGAGAGGGAGGGAGGAAGCTAGAGAGACAGAGTGAGAGAGAATCTCAAGCAGGCTCCAGCCCCAGCATTGAGCCCAATACAGGGCTGATCCCACAACCCTGGGCTCATGACTTGAGCCAAAATCAAGAGTTGGATGCTCAACCCAGTGAGCCACCCAGGTGCCACTGAGAAGTGTTCCATTTTACATAGCTTATATTTTAAATAGGTAGTGTTGCCTAGCTCTCCCTGAGACTATTCTCTTTAAGAAAACCTTTCCTTCACTGTAAAAACTACATTTCAAACTATAATTTACACGTTTATGTTTTATTTTTTCTGGATATATCTTCATGTAACTGTTTTAAATTCCAATTAGGTGAAAAATTTTTCAGAGACCAGTACTGTACCTTCTATCCTTCCATCTATCTCTAAAGACAGAACTAGCAAAATGGAAAGGGCAAAAGCTGTATGGAAAACAGTTGAGTTAGTTAAGCCAGTTCTGCCACTTGCTATCTGGATGACCTGGGTCTCACATTCCTTATCAGTAAAATGGAAACTTAAAATAGCCATTTTGAATATTACAGGAATTCAGTAATATAGGTAACACACATGGCACAAAGTAGGCAACTTGGTAAAGAGTACAAATACCACTGATATGAACAATCTAAAGCTGCTACTTTTATTTTTTTTTAATTTTTTTTAAATTTTATTTATTTTTGAGACAGAGAGAGACAGAGCATGAACAGGGGAGGGGCAGAGACAGAGGGAGACACAGAATCGGAAGCAGGCTCCAGGCTCTGAGTTGTCAGCACAGAGCCCGATGCGGGGCTCAAACTCATGAACTGTGAGATCATGACCTGAGCCGAAGTCGGACGCTCAACCGACTGAGCCACCCAGGTGCCCCTAAAGCTGCTACTTTTAAAAAGCTTAATATACTTCTTACTAGTAAAATCTTCCAAAAAATTGTATGAAAACTTCTTTTCATTCTTTACCAGCATATTTTAACAAGTCTTGTTCCCATTTCCACCCCCCAGAAATCATATTAAAAAGACTACATATGGTGGAATAAAATATACCACCTCTCTTCTTCTCTTTCAACTACAACCAAATGCACATACATTCACAGCACTAATTTACTATAGGGTTGAATCATTTTAAATTGCCATTTTTACATGTCCAAACTGGTGAACTTACTGGCTGTCTCAAATGGTTCAATCTGAAATTTACTCACCCAGTGAACACTTTAGTAATCCCAGGCTGGACTGCAGTTGCTGCACATAAGCAATGTTAAATGAGAGCTTTGAAATAAAGTGGAACATGAAAGTTCATTCTTATTTTAATGCTTTTACTTTGTACAAAGCTCTTCTAGAACTAAAATGTTAATATAATACATCTTGAATGTATTTCTTTTTCTTTTTTTTTTTT